TTTATTCACTCATTCACTCACTCACTCACTCGCTCGCTCACTCACTCGTTCACTCACTCACTCACTCACTCGTTCACTCACTCACACATTCACTCACTCATTCACTCACTCATTCACTCACACACTCATTTATTCACTCATTCACTCACTCACTCATTCACTCATTCACTCACTCACACATTCACTCACTCATTCACTCACACTCACTCACTCGCTCACTCATTCACTCACTCGTTCTTTCACTCACTCACTCACTCACTCATTCATTCACTCACACATTCACTCACACATTCACTCACTCATTCACTCACTCATTCACTCACACACTCATTTATTCACTCATTCACTCACTCACTCACTCGTTCACTCACTCACTCATTCATTCACTCACTCATTCACTCGTTCACTCGTTCATTCAAACACTACTGCAGTGATCATTCATGCTTTCAGGTCTAGAGGTTCACTTTAGTCACCTTTGAGTCATTTTATTACGTGCTTTTGCCATTTTTATTAGTTGATTTATTTATATATTCTTAAATATTTAGTTTAATTCGTTTTCTTATCAGTTTTAGGTTTAATAATTTTTTTATTTTAGCTTTAGTTTCCTGCCAAGGCAACATTTCTGATTTTATAATTTTAAGTCTAATATTTATATTTTATTTCAGCTTTATTTCCATTAACAAAACCAATTTTAATAGTTTTAGTTAGTTTAGATTAGTTAGTTTCAAAGTAATTTTGTGATATGCTTTTGGCATTTTTAGTAGTTTTTGTTTTCTTTAAATGTTTCTTTATATTTAAATATGTTGCTTTATTTTCATTTCAGTTTTAGTAATTTAAAGACTGATTTTATTTTACAGATTTTATAGTTATTTGCCAAGGCAACATTTCTTTTTTTTTTATTTAAATGAAACAATTTTTAATAGTTTTAGTTAGTTTAATTTTAGTTTGCATTTTAAGTAACTTTATTGTGTTCTTTTATTATTTATATTAGATTGTTTTTTATATATATATATATTTCTTTGTGTCTTTAAATATTTAACTTTAATTCATTTTCATTTCAGTTTCAGTATTTTGACTTCTACTTTTTCAGTTACTTGTAAAGGCAGCATTTCTACATAGTTTTTTTTTGTTGTTTACTTTTTTCATTTAATATTTATATTTTATTTTATTTCAGATTTATTTCTGTTAGCAAAATAATTTTAATAGTTTTAGTTGTAGCTCACAACAATTTTTTTATATTTTCCATTTTAATTTTAGGTTAATGTTTTAGTATTTATGTTGTATGTTTTATTTGTCGTTGTTTTTTTATTATAGCGTTGTAGTTTTTATTAATTTTTATTTCAGTTTTAGTTATTTTAGTACATCAAGCTAAACTACATGAAAATGAGAAATGTTAGCTGTTTTTCAATTTATTTCCATGAAAAACTTTTGTATGGTTTTGGTGTTAGTTTAAACACAACACAACATAACCCTGGTCCCAGAACAGAAGAGCAGATCTCGTTGTGATTTGAATGCACTGCCTCTAGAAACAGAAGCAGGAGAATCTCTCGGCTCTTCAGTGTTTCCAGCGGTTGGTTTGTGAGCGTGTTGCTCCGCTCATGTGCTGCTCATGTTTACTGGTCTCCATGAACACAGTCATCCAGTGTTTATATTCAGCGGATCTGCAGGAAACGAGTGGAAAAACTTCAGCGCCACGTCAGATTCAACAGAGCCGTGTGAAAGCCGCTCACGTTCCTCCAAACCCTGTTTTGTCGTTGTTTTTTTATTATAGCGTTGTAGTTTTTATTAATTTTTATTTCAGTTTTAGTTATTTTAGTACATCAAGCTAAACTACATGAAAATGAGAAATGTTAGCTGTTTTTCAATTTATTTCCATGAATAACTTTTGTATGGTTTTGGTGTTAGTTTAAACACAACACAACATAACCCTGGTCCCAGTACAGAAGAGCAGATCTCGTTGTGATTTGAATGCACTGCCTCTAGAAACAGAAGCAGGAGAATCTCTCGGCTCTTCAGTGTTTCCAGCGGTTGGTTTGTGAGCGTGTTGCTCCGCTCATGTGCTGCTCATGTTTACTGGTCTCCATGAACACAGTCATCCAGTGTTTATATTCAGCGGATCTGCAGGAAACGAGTGGAAAAACTTCAGCGCCACGTCAGATTCAACAGAGCCGTGTGAAAGCCGCTCACGTTCCTCCAAACCCTGTGCTGAACAAGCAGCGCATTCGACACGAAACCATACAATTATATCATCACTGTAATTAGTGTATAAACACACATACAAATATATCAACTGAAATAATGTTCTGCAAATGAAAATCATTTCAGATCAGTCACTTGTGAGTTTTTTTGCTGTTAACATGACGTCAGACTCGCTAGGCTTCCTGAATATAAAATTTCCCACAAATGGCAAAATGTTTCCATGAAGGAGCATCTGAGCCATGAGAGGACGTATATTTAGCCTGCAGTGACCACAAACTCCAAACAAACGCCGTGTGATCATAGAGACGGACACACTGAACACCGTGTGTGTGTGTGTGTGTGTGTGTTGATTGACAGCTGGGTTCTGTACGAGGATCATAATTTCAGAGGCTCTCAGCTCCTGCTGAAGCCCGGCGCCGTTCCTGATTGGCCCAAACTCTCCTCCTGGCTGCGAATCGGATCGCTTCGGCCGCTCATGCAGGTGAGAGACTCCGCCCATTGCAGCTCCTGTAGCCAATCGTGAGCGCTGGGGGCGGGGCTATCAGAGAGAGATGGATCAATATTTGCAGTATATTTGAATCTCACAGCGTTTGTTCTTCACTGGCGCAGAAACAAGTGCATTTCCGTCTGCGGAGCAAAGAGGCGGGGCTACTGATGTCCGTCAGCGGCTCATTGGACGACATCAAACTGATGCGTATCCAGGTGAGCGAGGAAAGGGGCGGAGCTGAGCAGATCTGGACCTATCAGGACGGTCAATTACAGTGCAAGGTAGAAACTGAAATCACTTTTACCAACATTGTACTATTTTCTGCTTGTGTAAATTATTTATTATTAAATTACACTTAAATTTTTGTGTAAATCATGTTTAAATTATTTCATTAATATGTTTTTGTATTAAAATTCACAGTATTTTCTAATATATTACTATTATTCATAAATTATTCATGATGCACATTTTATTGTATTATTGTAGTCTGTGACTTGAGACAAATAGCAAGAAAATTTAAGAAAAATATTAAAAGCAAATATATATATTGTTGAAATAAAATAAACATTATAAACAACTGAAATAAAATCTATAATAAAAATGTATCAGTTGTCAACATTTCAAATTTTTGTTGAATTTAAGTTGAAGTGCTAAAATAACTCAAACTAATAAATAAAAAATAAACAAATAACTAAAACTTAAATTCAAATTCTAAAACTTCAAATTGAAATGAAAACTGAAAATATAATAAATTATAATAAATTAAATCTAATTAAAAAATGAACAAAAACTAATTAAACTAAAAAAATTATTTAAAAACTATAACATTGTTATAACACAGATACATTTATATGTATAAAGAAGTAAGTATTATATTATTAATATAAAAATAAATGTTATCATATAATAATTACGAAATTACACTTTATTTCTGCTTTTTGTCTGATTAATTATTCAGTAATTAATCAAAAGTAATTGTGTGTGTGTGTGTATAGTATAGTGTATATAAAGCAGTATATAATATATTTTATATATTTAATAATAATATGTGTGTATATGTGTGTCTGTGTCTGTGTGTCTGTCTCTCTGTGTGTGTGTGTGTGTGCGCGTGTGC